TTCCTAACGTTTCGCCAGTCTCTGTGACCGGCATCTTCATCTGAAGATGCCGGCCACAGAGACTGGCGAAACATTAGGAAAAACCACCTTCAAAACACGGCCAAGAAGCCTGAAAAACCCACAACAACCATCTCTTTGCTTTTCTTCACTCAAGATGGATAAATAGATGCTGAAGGAACATAGCATAAAGATTTAAAGTGCCTTTCCGCATTTACAGCATTTGTGAAAAGCAATTGCTAACGTGCCTCTCATTTGCATTGCAATCAGAATCACTTTAATCATCACCCCTATGTTTGCTTTTCTCATGTGACTGTGGACACTAAGAAGTGAAATGAAGCTCATTGTATACTTACAAAGTACAATTGGGTGTCTGGTTGTATTTATTTTGAACAAGAGAACTAGAACTGCAACAAGTTCTCAATTTTTAAAACTATGGTCCTCATGGAGGCAAAGGTAGTGGATACATTCCTGACTTCCATTATTCTTCATCAAGAAATAATTTACAATGACAAGTCAATGCAACACTCAAACTCCTTTTGCATCTGCTTAGTAAACAATTTTGCATGTAAGATCTAGGTTTTTTTTTTTAAGGCAAGTACCTGGGAGTGTTTCAAAGTGAAGACAGAAGTTATAATATAGAGATCTATCTACAACACGCCAGATAACATAATGGCCAAATGTTTTTTTTTTGTCCACAATGTGCAGACAAACAACCAAATACTTCCTTAGTTTCTTGAGTTTCATCAGGATCAGATGCAGACATGCAAATATCTCTTTCAGCAGTTTCCTGCTGTAAAAAGAAGTGCAACTGCTCCATAGCCATATCTGTTTGGACACGGCTTGATCTCTAGCTCACAGCAGAAGCTGGAGGTTGCCTTGTTAACGGCCACAGTGCTTCCCTTTGCACAAAGGGTGTGTTGCATAAATCTCAGAAAAATGAAAGGTGTATAACATACAATGACATGTGGGGGAAAACCAAACAGATTTCTGGCCCCTGTAGGTTACCTATCTTTGTAGACAATTACTGCATGACTACACTTATATAATTTCCCTCCGAGTAGAGCTGAGGATACCATGGACTGTCAGAAAGATGAACAAGTGGATCCTAGATCAAATCAAGCCTGAATGATCTCTGGAGGCAAAAAAAATGTTGAAACTGAGGCTGTCCCACCTCCTTTTCACATAATGAAAAGACAATAAAGCTGGGAAAAGTGGAAGGCAGCAAGAAAAGAGGAAGACCAAATATGAGATGGGCCGATTCCTTAAAAGAACCCACAGGCTTGAGTCTAGAAGAGCTGAACAGGGCTACTGAAGACAAGATATTTTTGAGATTGCTCAATCATATGATCAGTATGAGTCGGAGGTGATTCGATGGCATATAACAACAGAACTTACAACTTGCCAGAACCTACATTTTTTTTCTGGCCATATGTGTGTGTTTGTGACCTTCAAAGATTACTGAGCTCACAAACTAGCAAAAGCCAAACTTTTTCATTTCATCCTTTGATGATTATGTTCGCCTGAACTTGAGAAAAACTGTTCAGAGTCAAAAGTGTAGTTTTGTGTTGCGTGTCTTCGCTGATAATAATCCACAAATATATTTTCACTTTCATGTTTTATATCTCCAAGCAAAAATGCGACCCCAATTGATATGTAAGTGAACTATAATATAGATGTGGAAGCTCCTTCTCTGGCAATCATCAGACTACGCATCTCACCCACTCTTTTATTTGGATTTGTTTTGGGACAAGCACAGAAAAATGAGCCAGACAAAGGCCACCATTAAGCATACTCAGACATCAAATGGGAACCAGGATGAAATGGGAGATTTCAACCATAACACTTTACAGATGGATATGAAGAGAAAACACACTGATTGGCTTGGTCTTTGTGTCAAAGAAGGCTGAAGAAGTACAGAACAGAACTGCCGTGAAAGCGTCTGCAGAAAGGTATCTAACTCAGGTTATTGGTATTTAGCTCTCCAAACATAAAATCAGTCACTGATTGTTTATCAATACTAGCAAATTCTCAAGCATATTTCATTCCAAAATAGTGTGAAAATACATTTCCTTTTCCCAAATTATAGCATGGTAGTTCAGAAAAAAAAATGCACCATGACAGTGAGGGGCGCTGTGGGTGGCGTATTTTGTATAGCCTGAGGTTAACTCCACAGGAGTCATTAGATGGTCCCCACAAGACCCCACAATTCAACCAAAGCAGCTGCAGCCATAATCTTAAGTCTCCTTTTCTTACCTTAGCTTACATCTCTCGTCCTTACTTTAGAAACATACCAATATTTCACTTCAGATTCAGCACTGTGTACAATTTTAAAGTTTAGAATAATAAGAGATAATTGGAATTTCCTCCAAGACCGCTGTGATGGGCTGTTGAAATCATCTGCCTGTTTGGCTGGAAGAGAGGCTGCGCTCTGGGGATTAGCCACAAGTTAAGAACCCTCCACAACCTGCCAGAGCTCTTCAAACAAGGGAGCAAGTTCTTTTTCCAAGTTTATGATTAATCCTACAAAGAAAAATGGGAAGGGGGTGGGGGAGAGGGAAGAACAAAATCTGTTCACACTAGGGAGAGCGATTTGTAAATAAGAATGGCTCTCCCTCCATCAAGAGAACTAGAACTAAATATTTCACATAATGAAAATTCTACTTCAGCTTCTTTGGTTGAGAAGCAAGCACTACAAGAGAGGACATCCTCATGGCTGATCGGTAGGTTCTATACAGAGCACTTCAGGCTACAATACTGGCAGCACAGAAGCTTTTACTCCACTTTTGCTCTAGTGCTGAAACCAGACACTAAAGCATGAGTTTCTGTCTCTTCTCCCCCCCATTAAGTCACCCCCTTAAGAGATTCTCCTGGCTCACTCAGGCTGAGAAAGAGGATAGAAAGAGGAGGTGATTATCACAGTTTACAGAAGAACTACTCTGGCAATCCAGAGCTCTTAGGCAGCACAGAAGCTTTTACTCCACTTTTGCTCTAGTGCTGAAACCAGACACTAAAGCATGAGTTTCTGTCTCTTCTCCCCCCCATTAAGTCACCCCCTTAAGAGATTCTCCTGGCTCTCTCAGGCTGAGAAAGAGGATAGACAGAGGAGGTGATTATCACAGTTTACAGAAGAACTACTCTGGCAATCTAGAGCTCTTAATATATACAGTGGCGCCTCGCAAGACGATTGCCTCGCGGGATGATTAATCCACAAGACAATTAGTTTTTGTGATCACTGTTGGCACTTCGCAAGACGATGTTTTCCTATGGACAATTTTTGCAAGATGACAATTTTTCCCCATTAGAATGCATTAAATAGATTTCAATGCATTCCTATGGGGAACCGTGTTCCGCAAGACGATGTTTTCTATGGACGATTTTCGCAAGTTTTCCTATGGACAATTTTTGCAAGATGACAATTTTTCCCCATTAGAATGCATTAAATAGATTTCAATGCATTCCTATGGGGAAACGCGTTTCGCAAGACAATGTTTTCACAAGACGACATTTTTCATGGAACAAATTAACATCGTCTTGTGAGGCACCACTGTACACACATTTGCACTAGTAGCTTCACTGCACAGGAACTAGAGCAATGCAATTTTATCTGTTGATATGTAGAACTGTCTGTCTGTGTCCTTCCAGGCTTGGCACATAACACTGCTAAAACTGTTTTGTTACAAGCATTAGCTTCTACCACAACATCTACAGACCTGGTAAAGGAACTGCCTACCAGTTTCATAAAACTGTAATTTAAAAGACCTTTGAAAAACCAGGCATGCTTTACATTTTAAATCTATCATGAAGACTGCAGAAACGTCTCATGCTCTAAACATACCTGTATTGGCGTTGCTGCTTGCAATGAAACTCACCACCAAAGGTAACCTATTGAACTGAACAACCTATGAGAAAAGCAACACACTGATTTCAGAATCCAACATATAATAGTTTTGTGACTGATAGTTCACAACTTTGTCGTGTATATAATCCAGTTTAGCAGACCAGAAATAACTAGCAATTCAATTCAATTCATTGTCATAGAACATGTATACACATAAAATGAAATTCACACTCAGAGACCAGACCAAAAACAACCACCCACCCTCATGACAATCCCTAAATCCCAGAAACCCCACCTAAAGCTCATACTATCCACACAACATACAACACAATGGACCAAGTAATAGTAGTACAGTCCAACAACTCACTGCTGGTAATTCTTAACTTCCTTTTTACACATACAACACAATGGACCAAGTAATAGTAGTACAGTCCAACAACTCACTGCTGGTAATTCTTAACTTCCTTGTTACGTGCAATTATAGCTCTAGGATACAAACTGTTCAAAAAACGTGTCGTCCGAGTTTTAATTGCTCTGTATCTTCTGCCGGAAGGCAACAGTTCAAAGTTGTTATAAACAGGGTGGGAAGAGTCTCTGAGAATATTTAATGACTTCCTCAAGCAGTGAGATGTTGTCCAAGGTTGGAAGCTGAAGTCCAATGATATTCTGGGCAATTTTAGTAATTATCTGTAAAACTTTTTTGTGCATTTCAGAGCAACTCCCATACCATGAGAGGATGCCATAAGTTAGGACACTCTCTATGGTACTACGATAGTAGGACAGAAGTAAATGCTGAGATAGATTTATCTTCTTGAGCACTCTCAGGAAGTACAGCCTCTTCTGTGCCTTCTTCACCAGCATATTAGCATTTATAGACCATGAGAGGTCCTCTGAAATATAGATACCTAAAAATTTTAAACTACTAACCCTCTCCACCTCTTCACCATTTATGTACAATGGTAAATATACATCTCTCCTCATAAAATCAATTATACAGTGGTGCCTCGCTTTACGATTGCCCCGCATTACGATGAAACTGCATTACGACGATCTTTTTGCAATTGCAATTGCGACCGTAAAACGATGGTCTGAATAGGGGTTTTTCGCTTTGCGATGATTGGTTCCCTGCTTCGGGGTTTCAAAATGTCCGCCGGGTAATTAAAATGGCTCCCCGCTGTTTTCTGGGACGGACTCCTTGCAAGAAAGCCACTGAAAATGGCCGCCCTATGTAGGATCTTCACTGGATGGTGAGTTTCCAAACCACTGGAATGCACTGAAGGGGTTTCAATGGGCTTTTTATTTTCGCATTACGTTTTCATTCTACAGCGATTTTGCTGGAATGAATTAACGTCGTAATGTGAGGCTTCACTGTAAGTTCTTTAGTTTATTTATTTATTTATTTGATTTATACCCTGCCTATCTGGCCTAATAGACCCCTCTATGGTGTTAAGTGTAAGATTATTTTGTTTACACCATAGTGTCAGCCCTTGTACTTCTTTTCTATAAGCAGTCTCATTGTTCTTATTTATAAGCCCCACCACTGTCGTATTATCCGCAAATTTAATAATTGCATTGGTGTTATACCATGGGGTGCAGTCATGTGTGTACAGAGAATAGAGAAATTCTTGGCTATTCCTGCTATGAAAGGGGCAATCATCAACATCATCATCTTTGAACTGCAGAGCTGGAAGGAACCTTATGGATGATCGAGTCCAGCTCCTCTAAAGGAGGCACAATGGGGAACTGAACTCCCAACCTCTAGCTTCGCAGCCAGAGACCTAAGCCATGAGTTATCCAGCAGTTATTTTCAATAACCTTGATACAACACATTAAATACACAAACTTGAGATACTGTATCATATATTACTATGTGAAAACAGGATTATGGGGAACAAAAGTGATAACCATGAAACCATCACTTCCACCAAGCAGAAAAGCACATAAACAGTGCAATGTTGCCCAGAGATACAGAAACCATCTAAATAGATTCTGAAAGTCAGACAAGAGAGCTTCTGTTATAAACAGAGAGGTCAAACAGAGGGCAACCAAATGACCACCCAATAAAAAGCTTAAAATCTTGATGCTTCCAAATTTGTTTGCCAACCAATTGCTGAACTAATGCCTTACCTGATATGTGTTGTAGTAACAGATAATACTCTTGTTCTTGGAAAGTCCCAGTTTGCTGCCCTGGTCTGTTGCAAGTGCGAAAGTTGACAAGAAGCCAGGTCGAAGAGCATGCTCTGGAGCATTATCATTGGCAACTAGAACAAGAGAACACTTTCTATCTGGTTTCCATATACATATTGCAAACACTTATAATGGCAAGCAAAACCTTGTTTTCTTGGATAGTATCATTCATGCTCCAGCCCATACACCACACCCTGACCCTATAAAACCACAGATGAATGCAAATGGAGCATGCTTTTAAAACAATAAAATATTCTCAAAGCCAAGATCTTGCAATTAGAGGGCATGGGCAAGGGAAGACATGGAGATATTACATGTGTGTGCTCACATTAACCTTGCATGATGCACCAAGATCTTGCAATTAGAGGGCATGGGCATCTATACAGCAAGGGAAGACATGGGGATGTTACATGCGTGTGCTCACATTAACCTTGCATGATGCGTTTTTCCATTAGAAATGAAATGTCTGCTGGTACATTTTAATTTCATAAAACAGCAGTATTACAGAAATGTCACAAGTTTCCTTTCTTTCAGTTCCCAAAATGTTATGAAAACTGTTGTGTTATGTTTTGTACACAGCCTTGAATAATGCTTGATATTCAGTTTCACTGACACAACACAGAAGAAAGCCAGCTCACACCCAACCCCGCTTTCATAGTCAGGAAAATGCATCAGAGGTGATAAGTGGGTATTGTACTTCCTGCCAACCCACATCTATGCTGGAGGCCAACAAGAGAAGGGAATGGCAAACTCAATGAAAGGAAAGAGAACATACCATTCCTGCACTGGGTTTTGCAACTGTATGTTCACCTTAGGTTTTACATTGTATGTTTTTAACAAATGGCAGAAGTTTATAAAGTCTATTATATTGTAGGAGGTGATAAGTGGGTATTGTACTTCCTGCCAACCCACATCTATGCTGGAGGCCAACAAGAGAAGGGAATGGCAAACTCAATGAAAGGAAAGAGAACATACCATTCCTGCACTGGGTTTTGCAACTGTATGTTCACCTTAGGTTTTACATTGTATGTTTTTAACAAATGGCAGAAGTTTATAAAGTCTATTATATTGTAGCTGTTTACAGTGGTGCCTCACTTAACAATTACCTCGTTAAATGACGAATCCGCTTTACGATGGTTTTTTTGCAATCGCTATTGCGATCACAAAACGATGTTCCTATGGGGAAAATTTGCTTCACGACAATTGGTTCCCTGCTTCGGGAACCGATTCTTCACATTACAACGATCTAAAAACAGCTGATCATCGGGTTTCAAAATGGCCACCCGCTGTGCAAAATGGCTCCCCGCTGTGTTAAGGACAGATTCCTTGCTATACAGGCACCAGAAAATGGCCGCCCTATGGAGGATCTTAGCTGCACAATGAAGTATTTCGCCCACTGGAACGCATTAAACGGTTTTCAATGCATTTCAATGGTAGTATCTAGATTAGGAGTAGAAATCATGAAACTTCCAAGCTGATTTTTATGTTCCCTGCAATTGATAGCAAACAAGGAAAAAAAGATACTCATAGAAATCACTAAGAGTGACAATTCTCCCCTTAAACATGATGTAATGCCATATCCTATGTTTTTCAAAACAAAGTGGATTCCTGGTCATTTTTAGTTCAAGGTGGGTTGGAGCAGCTTTCAGTGAGCTGTGGTTATGGCAACTGAGTTGCTGGGGTCCTGCTGCTTACATATACAAAGTTACCCCCTTACCTTTGATAACAGGCACACCGTCTCTATCTGACACTACAATAGCATGAAGCCCTTCAACACTGGAAAATAAATAGAATAGACTGCTCAGGAATCTCTGGACAACAATTTGGGGCTCAGCTGCCAGCTGTTTTGACCATTTATTCAGTCTTTATTCATATTGAAGCACTGCACAATTTAAAATTATGGACACACATGAAAAATAGGTAATATTAAAAACAAATTAAAATGTTAAGATAATTGCACTGTAAATTTATTCAGTAGCTGATCAGTTTAACGAGTATAACTGTTAACCAATTAAAAATATTATCAATAGACTTCACAACAGAACCAGAACATATTAATATGAAAAGCTATCTCTAGCACTTTGCTTCAATCAAGATACAACACTCTGAACAATAAACAATCTTTCATGTGACTGAAAGATTCAAATAACTCTTCCTAGAACGTGGTGCGAAGGTGCCAGATGTAGGTCCAACTCTGATGAACAGATTTTGACCTACTAAGATTGCCCTGAAAGCCTACGTATTCCACCCAGAGTTCAATGAAGGAATACTCAAGAGGAGTTTTAGCATCTTCATGCAATGTCAACATCTTTGCAGCCACTGAGTAGCAGAAATTTAGCACTGCCAAAACTAATGCTGCAGTCCAAAGAACAAGTGCACTTGGTATGTGCTTTCCGAAAACATTTCCACATTCAAATGGGTGGCGTATATTACAGACTCCTCCTCACTCCCCAACAGTGTGCTCCAAAACATCATTTCAGAGGACCCACCAACATTGTAGGAAATATATTTAGATGTGGGAAAGGTTGCACACAGCAAGAGGAATGGCAGGAACGCATTGTTGCCCATGGAACTCAATTCTGTTCAAATTAATCTATTATAGTCAGGACTTATTACTCAAAAATAAGTCACAATTCTAGTAAGCCCATTTAAATCAATGGAACTCACAGAGTTAACTCAGCAAATTTCCATTGATTCAATGGGCCTACTCTACTGCAATGTATTATACTAAGCAAAAGAATTTCAGCCATCAAACTGCAGCTTATGTTTTCCGGCCATCAAACTACTGTAGTTAACATTTTAAATGGAGACAGTGTTGCTTTTTCTGTTTCCAGAAACAAGCCTTCAAGACTGTTCAGCAAACTGGCACTACATTAAAAATCCAGAAAGGAAAGACACTTCCTATACTACTTTATGTAGCTTCAAAGTTATGGTAGCAAAAAGCTTTGGAAGCACTGCACAATTTAAAATTATCTTCTTTCCTTCTTTTTAACTGAAACTCCATGGCCATATTGGCTAGGAGCTACAATCCAAAAAAGTTAACTGTCCAAGTTCTGTGTGGATCTCTTAATCAAATATTCCCCTGACACTGTCATTTATCTAGCCCATGGGTCTCCGAACTTTTCTCTATAAGGCCCACATCATATATATTTTGCACATTTTTGAGGGCCCACTGTCTTATCTCCTCTTCCTATGCCTGGGCTGGATAAAAAGGGAAGGTGGGCTGGATGTGGCTGGCAGGCTGTGATTTGGAGACCGATGATCTAGCCTATGGTTTACAACAAATCTGCCACAATAGTTGTAACCTTTGAGATATGTCAGGTGAGGTGATATCACAGACACCTGGAGCTATATGATTCCTGTAAGAACCCCACAAGCTTAAAGGGCTTCAAAATAGACCATTCCATGGCATCATGAGAAGAGTAGGTAGAAGAGGGCATAGAACCTTCAAAAGAGAGGCCCACCAACACGCCCAACATTTAATGCTGATGTGCCCTATCAGATGTTTTGACAGCACAGTACTCAGAATAACTTTGCAAGATACAGTGGTGCCCCGCATAGCGAGGTTAATCCGTTCCGGATTAACCATCGCTATTCGGAAACATCGCTAAACGGAATAGAAAAACCCATTCGTTTAATGCACTGGTTCTTAACCTTGGGTTACTCAGAAGTTTTGGACTGCAACTCCCAGAAGCCTTCACCACCAACTGTGCTGGCTGGGGTTTCTGGGAGTTGCAGTTCAAAAACATCTGAGTAACAAAGGTTAAGAACCACTGGTTTAATGCGTTCTAATGGGCCCCAAACTCACCATTCAGCGATGTTCCTCCATAGCGCAGGCATTTTCGTGCCCTCGGTAAGCAAGGGCAGGACGCGAAAACGCTGTGCGCGGCCATTCTGGGTCTTCCGGTGGCCATTTTGGAACCGCCGAACAGCTGTTCCCCCAACATCGCAATGCGAAGATCGGTAAGCGAAACGCTTACCGATCGTTGCAAAGCGATTTTTGCCCATTGGAACCATCGGTATGCGATCGCATTTGCGATCCCAAAAAACGGACCGCTATGCGAATTCGGCGTTAAATGGTGCGCTCGTTATGCAAGGCACCACTGTACTTATTAAGTCCATCAACTGCAATGAAAGTTGTCTTCTCAGGCCTTACTGAACTGGAACTAAGTTCCACTGTAATAAACAGAACTTATTCCCAGGTCACACCGTGAAAAAGTTTAAAACAGGGACTCAGTAGTGATCTTCTGACATGTAAAACATGGGCAGAAAGTAGGTTCCTATTACACACTTTACCTTGGTAGCTTTTTATACAAGAACCTTTTCAGCTCCTAGAAGAGGAAAAAGAAATCAGGTTTTTGCTTTTAGCCAATGATACAACACACAAGTGATCACATACTTTTTTTATTCTATATATATTATTCTAGATTCTGGAAGAGGGAAAGAAAACTCTCAAGGGGCACATTTCCTCAGGAGTAACTGGCTGAAGGCCATATCTCAGTGCTAAGAGGCAGGAGCAGATCCAAAAATGAGTAAGACTATCTTGTTTTACTCTTTCTTTTCCTACAATCTTCTTTCATCTTCCTGCTTCTTCCTCTCTAGCCACTGGACTTCCATACGAAGGAACAAAACTATTATTTATTTATTTATCTAGATGCAGAGCCAGAGGTTGGGAGTTCAATTCCCCACTGTGCCTCTTTGACAGGGGTTTGTCTAGCCGCCTAGAGTGGTCATGTTACCAGATAGGCAGGATATAAACAGAATGAATGAATGAATGAATGAATGAATGAATGAATGAATGAATGAATGAATAAATAAATAAATAAATAAATACATGATCCATATAGTCCTTTTCAATTCTAAATAATTCTTGTCAGTAATCGGAAGTGAAAGCTTCTGAAATCAAGCGAAGGGCTTCAGGCTGCTCAGCACCTTGACTTAAAGTAAGCAACCACTTAATTTCATAAAAATTCATTGGAATGCCCAGATATTGCATAACCATGGAGTGAAAGAATTTAAGATTTCCACCCTTTAAACACAGTAGCTTGGCTTATAGTTCAACTTCTGTCAATATTTTGTACAAATCATTCTAAACATGCATTAGATATTTATACATACATCTGCCATGCTGTTCTAGATGTTAAATTCAAATGAACTTTGAAGACCACTGGAAAAGAAAATTACACACTTTTGTGACAAGATGACAAAGTAGAAAAATTACCAGCATTTCTTCCCAGGTTCTACTATTTATTTGAAGAAGACTGTGATGCTTTCCTTAAGAAATCAAACCCTGTTCCCACAAGACATGGTAGCTCTTCAACCTAAGACACCAAACTTACAGATTTTAATAAATATTTGGTATGTAGCTGGGGAAGGAAAGGGAAGGGTGCCAAATAATATAGGCCTGTAGTCTTACTCAGCAAGTATCCTTGTATCTCTTTTTATTTCTTAGATTTCTATCTGAGAATGAAATGACTTTCTCTCCTCCCTCTGCACAATAAAACTGGTAAGGCTGACAAGTGACAAATTTATTTTAGCCTAACCTAAGATCATTCTTTAGAAGCTGTGTACTACCAAGGTAGGCTGTTCATTCGGCCAGCCGGCCAGCCTTGTTCGCTTTGATCAAAAGCTGCTCTCCAGGTTCAAATGAAGTGAAATTCCCAGCTCGCGGATGGGGAAAATGTGACTCTGGATGTGGTTCGCCTGCAACTCACCTCATGACTGACTATGTTGCCTAGGGCTCTTGGAAAATGCAGTACAACATCTAAATCCCCATCTTCCAGCTCCACCCAACCCTTTTAACTGGGCATGTTTGGGAACTGAAGCTGAATATTTTTACATGCTCTAAATACAGTGCTAGGATATCTTGCTTCATGGACTGTAAACAGAAACTTCTTCCTAGCCCACCCTTTCCCATCTGCTGCTCATCACCCAGTTCCCATTTCTTGCTGAGGATGATGGGATTTATAATCTGACACATAAGGAAGGCACCAGGTTGAAGCAACCCTCCCCCACAACCATGACACCATACTCTGAATACAACACGGAGCCTGCCATTGCCATGTAGGAGGTGGCAGGGGAAACCTATCTATACCACCTAATAGGCTTATCCTCATCTTGAAGTGCCAAAATCTTCTCTGAGAAGGCCTCTGAGGAAAGGGTTGAGAAACTCTTGGTCCTCCAGATATTTCAGACTACCCTTCCCATCACCGCTGACCACTGGCCGTATTGCTTAGAGATGATGGGCATTTCTGGCAAAACCATCAGAAAAGCCAAAGGCTCCCCACCCTACCCGCAAACCAGGGAAGGGAAGCTGCGAGAGGAACCTGCAGCCAAGCCCCTTGGCTGCATTGATCCCTCTTGGGGCGACCCAACGAGCTGTGCGATGAAAGAAGCAACCTGCCAGAGCCACGTCCTGCCCCTAAGATCCCCCCCCCCG